CACAAACACCTCCCCACCCCCACCCCCGGCCCTCTTTGTGCCCCAGCATGTCCAAAATACTGAAGTGTGCCGGCAACGAGGACATCATAACTCTGCGGGCAGAGGACAACGCAGACACCTTGGCTCTAGTGTTTGAAGCACCAAGTGAGTGTTAGATTTGGGAACTGCTCTGCTGGGCCATTTCTAGGTAGTCTTGATCGACCGTGTGGGTGCAGAGGGGGAGGAATAACAATAATATGTGAGAGGAGGAGAGCTCACCTGACACTTAAACTCTTGAAGTAGAAACTTTTGAAACCATCTGGAGTTGGGAATGTAAAGAAAGACATGAACCTGTTGGAGCAAGTCCAGAGAAGGCCCCAGGATTTATCGGAGGGCTGGAACCCCTCTGCTGTGAGGCCAGGCTGAGAGAGCTGGGCTTGTTCAGCTTGGAGAAGAGAAAGCTCCAGGGAGACTTTCAGGACTTAAGGGGGCCTGTCAGAAAGATGGGGATGGACTTTGGAGGAGGGCCTGCTGGGACAGGATAAGGGGAGATGGTTTGAAACTATTAAGAGGCAGATTTAGACTGGAAAGACAGAAGAAAGTTTGGATAATGAGGGTGATGAGGCCCTGGCCCAGACTGCCCAAATAGGTCCTTGATGCCCCACCCCTGGAACCATTCCAGGTGAAGCTGGCTGGTGCTCTGAGCAACCTGCTCTAGTTGCAGATGTCCCTGCTCAGTGCAGGGGGGTTGGACCAGATGACCATGCAAAGTTCCCTTCCCACTAGGCCAGGCTGGTTCTATGGATGCCTAGTCAGCTTGAACAGTACTCTGTTTTAAGGGACAGACTCTTTAGGCCACATACAGATGCTCTGGGCAGATTCCTCTCCTCTTGCAGCCTACAAAAGGCTGTTTGGGTCACTTCCCAATATCTAGTGCTAATTAAACAAGGTGGGTCTTGCTGTCACAGCTAAGGAGGGGGAAGGGACAAAACTTTGCTAATTAAACAAGGTGGGTCTTGCTGGCACAGCTAAGGAGGGGAAAGGGACAAAACTTCTCAGAAACACTTGGTAAGTGCTGCTTTGTTCCTTCAGATCAGGAGAAGGTTTCTGACTACGAGATGAAGCTCATGGATCTCGATGTGGAGCAGCTTGGAATTCCAGTAAGTAGTGGCTCGAAGGACTCTCCAGAGTCCTGGAAACGGGTGTTCTCCCTCGTCCCCCTGGCTCTGAGCCTGGGACGTAGCCTGCTGTGGGAGGCCTGGCCAGCGGGGCGCGGTGGCTCCCCGGGTGGGTGTGAACCCTGGTGCTCCCCCAGGAGCAGGAGTACAGCTGTGTGGTGAAGATGCCCTCGGCAGAGTTCGCCCGCATCTGCCGGGACCTCAGCCACATCGGCGACGCCGTCGTCATCTCCTGCGCCAAGGACGGCGTCAAGTTCTCGGCCAACGGGGAGCTGGGCAACGGCAACATCAAGCTGTCCCAGACCAGCAACGTGGACAAGGAGGAGGAGGCTGTAAGTGAGGCGTTGGCCGTTCTCTGCTCTCCTTGGCGGTGAGGTTTCTGCTGGTGGGACCTGGGGAGCGGGGGGGGTGATTTGCTCGTTTGTAGGCTATGGAGTTGGCCACTGGTTGCCAGCTTCGGGTCCTTGGCCCTGCAGGTGGTGCTCAGCAGAGCAGAGTAGGAACCAGTGCTGCTTGAGGTGCCTGAACCATTGGCAAGACCAAGGATTTTGCTGCCTTTATGGAAGTCTGACAGCCCTGGGGGGTGTCCCTACCCATGGCAGGGGGCTGGAACTAGGTGATCTTTGGGGTCCCTTCCAACCCAAACCACTCTGATTCTACAATGGTTTTCCAGGTTACAATAGAGATGAATGAGCCTGTCCAGTTGACCTTTGCTCTGAGGTACCTGAACTTTTTTACCAAAGCCACTCCCCTGTCACCTACAGTAACACTCAGCATGTCTGCAGATGTTCCTCTTGGTAAGTACAAGCAGCTCTTGAAAACTCTTGTAGAGCACTTCCACCTTAGGGTGGTGCTGAGCACTCAGGTTTCTGCAGAACCTCCTCAAGAGTATTTTTCTCTTTTTTTTTTTTCCCCAGTTGTGGAGTACAAGATTGCTGATATGGGACACTTAAAATACTACCTGGCTCCAAAGATTGAAGACCAACAAGAAGGCTCTTAATTGGCGTGGGACTGAGGGGGAGACCTGCTCAGCTCTTGGCAGAGGATGGAGGAACTGGTGGAGGTGGTGGTTCCAGCTCACTGCCACAGCATACCAGCACTGTTAGGCATTTTCTGTAGATATCTCTGTAAATATTTTTCAACTTACTGTTTTGCTATACTGGTGCCACTGGTAATAGGAAATTCTGTGTTTTCTAGTTTATTCCAGTACTTCCACTAATCTCGTAGGTGCTGTCTGAAGGAGGACTAGCTTACCCCTTTCAGCTGCCATCAGAAGGGGTATTTAATGCTCCAGTTTAACACGGAGCAATATTTAACTTGCTTAAAGACAATGTTTCCTGGAGTTTCTCCTGTAGCTAGCATGGGTTGCTGTTCATTTATGCCATGAGTTTTTGACCTGATTTGATCCACTTATTTTTGAAGCTGGTATTCTAACTGAAACTTGGAAATAAAGAAAATAATTTTGTGGGGTTTATGCTGTTGTAGTGTGGATGAATGGATCAATGCCTTGTCAAGCTGTGCTGATGGACCATGGCTCTGCTTCCAGAGGTGTTGTCTCGTGCTGGTCTGCCTGGGAGTCACCCTTCAAGCATTCAGTGTGGTCACAGCTTGGACTAACCTGCCTGTGACACTGCTGCCTTTAAGCAGAGGTTTGTGAAGCAGGGTTTTTCCTTAAAGTGCATTAGCTGTGGCAGATGCCAGAGCTGCCTCTAGCAGGGGCTGTGCCTGTAGCTGTCAGCAGCTCTGGGTGAGGCCAGCAGGGGTGTGGGCATGTGCTTGGTGTAGTTGTGACTAGGAGCTGTGTGAGCCCTTCCTGCGTTTGGTTCTGCTCTTTCTGGCCCCTCAGCAGCTGCATTCACTGGGTGCCTTTGTCCCACAGCTCACACACTTCTGTTGTAGAGCATTCCCCTGTGCCACCAGCAGTTCCTCTCTTCACTGAGGGATCTGTGATTTATGATCATCTCATGAGATACCCCCCTGCAGTGCTGGGGCAGCTCTGGAGTCCTCAGCACAGCAGAGCCAGGGACCTGCTGGAGTGGGGCCAGAGGAGCCCCAGCAATGCCCCGAGGGGGGAACCCCTCTGCTGGGAGCCCAGCAGGAGAGAGTTGGGCTGGGGCAGCTGAGAGGAGAAGGCTCCAGCTGGGGAGACCTGCTGGGGGCTGGCAGTGTCTGAAGGGAGCTTTAGAAGAAAGCTGGGGAGAGACTTCTTACAAGGGCTTTTAGTGATATGATGAGGGGTAATGGCTTCAAACTAGAGGAGTGTAGGTTTAGGCCAGAAATGAGGAAGAAGTTCTTCACTAGGAGGGTGGGGGCACTGGCACAGGTTGCCCCGGGAAGGTG